AGCAAGTAATATAATTAGTTCAAATGGTAAAATAAAAGTAAAATTTTAAAAGCATAATATGCTTATTGAAAGGAAAACATACTTCCAAAATTATCTATGTAGGTTCTAATCGGTTTCGGATATAATCGGTTTCGGATCTAATCGGTTTCGGGTTTTATTGGTTTCGGGTATTATCGGTTTCGGATCTAATCGGTTTCGGGTTTAATCGGTTCGGATATTATCGGTTTCGGATCTAATCGGTTTCGGATTTAAATCGGATATGAATTATTTAGTTCGGTTTTGGTTCGATTCGGATCATTTCGGGTTTTCGGTTATAGATCGGATCTTCATTTTTCGGGTCATTTCGGTTTCGGTTTCGGATATTTCGGTTCGAGTAATCGGTTCCGGTTCTGTTTTGCCAGCTCTACCCATTTATGCCACGAACCTTTCACCATGATTAAAATCTTGTCTAACATAATTAATTCTTAATACACAACTGAAGAATCAAAATCATGTGTTATCACAGAAAATTATTCAGGAGTGACATGAGTTTTGTCGAAATAACTCTCAGATCCCTCTATTTTCAAGAAAACAATGGATGTCCTTACATTTTGTTGTAATGAGTAGGAGGAAACATTTCATCCAATATTTCATCTTTAAACATTAATAAATGTGTTTTTCCTATTTTTTTCATTAATGTTTTATGATAATAACTCTTAGGTTGCTCTTTTTTTATTTCTTTTTTTTGTTACTCTTTTTTAAAGTGTTTTTTAGAGTTTCTTTTATAAAATTGTATGAAAATTTAAAATTTTTAGAATGATATAAAAGTAAATGAAATAAAAAAATTTCTAAAAAAGAACAAATCGAGTAAAATTAAAAAATTGAAAAACAACAAGACAAATTCCCTAGAAACTCATCAAGATTCTCTGTTAAAAAAGAGATCTAATTTTCTTTTTTGATAAGGTCCTTATTTCATTTATTTTTATATCATGCAAAATTTAAATTTTTGAAATTATTTTCTAAAAGAAAGTTTTAAAAAAATATTTATAAAAAGGAAACAAAGTGAAAAAAGAGACAAAATAGAAAATTCAACAAAGTGACTAAAGTGAGGTACCTAAAAGTTATTATTATAAAATGGTAATGATAAAATAGGAAAAAATAAATTTGTTAACGCTTATGGATGAAGTATTAAATGAAATGTCCATTCCAGTTATTACTACAAAACGTAAAGATTTTTGTTGTCTTTTAGAAAATAGAGAGACCTGAGAGTTATTTACACCAAACTCGTGTCACACGTAAATAATTTTATGATATTATCACCAAGTTGTTTTTCAAAAAAGAATTAAAAGTGAAAAGGATTGGAAATTGCTCGGGAGTCGGAAAATTGGTCTTTGTTTTGTTTTGTTTAGAGTACACACCAAAGCCACACCATGCCCACTCAGGAACGGTTGGCTTACAGCTGTACCACCCCAAATCTAACGGTCTGTATGTTCCTCATCTTTTTTTTAATAACTTTTTTAAGGAAATTATACATTTATACGTAGTATATTTTTTGTTATTAGATTATACTAAGGTTCTATTTGGTAGACGAAATTCAAATCATAGAATTGGAATGATGGATTTCAATCCTAACTCTGCTGTTTGCAAGAAAAAATGCGTGAATTTGGAATTGATAGTGAAAAAATGAACTGGAAGGGAAAAATACTAAAGTAAGAGTAAAATATAGAAAATATACTAAAATACAAGTTTAATGTTTTTGTTCTCAAAATATGAATTAAAATGCATAAAGAAATCACTAAAATAAAGTAAAATATAGAGAAAATATCAAAATAGAAGGTGCATGTTTATATCTCTAAAATGGAGGTTTGCATTATGGTAATATAACATTGTATATGGACATTCTTCTATACAGTTTTCTATTATACAATGGCATGATTGGAATGCGTATGTATTTTAATTTTTATTTTGGAAATAAAAACATGAAACTCTAATTTTGATATTTTTTATGTCTTGTTGTTACTTTAATATTTTTCCCCTTATGCAATATCAATTGTGTCAGTATATAATACCAATAAGGCAATAAGTATTGTAAAATATCTAAATACGATGTCACACTACCACATTGCAATCTCGTATTTTGAAGACAATAATATGCAGCTCTTATTTTAATATTTTCTCTATCTTTAAAGTGATTTAATTTAGAATTAAAAAATTCAATTCTATCATATTCAATTCTAAAAAAATTCAATTCAAATTTAATTTTAATTTCGATAATTCCGTATCCCAAACCGGATCTAATAAATTTAATTGGAGAGATAAAAGAGTAAATGTTCGGTGGAATGTTTTTCTTTTTCTTTTCCTTTTCACACACAGGCTGTCAACAGCCGGGCAGCAAAGCGCGTACGTGGCTGGCGTAACGGTAACTTCGGCGTCTCTGCCCGTACTTTATATACCTTGCCCCTCCTTCCCCATTTCTTCATCTCCTCATCCTCAACAAAAAGTCCTTCTGACCAAAGAAAAAAAGATCCCAAAATCCTTCTGGACTTCTGCAATTCGTTCGAAGATCTCCTCCACACACGAAGAAGATGAATGCCAAAGCTCTCTTCGCCGTCCTCGTGGTCGCCTTGGTGGCATTCTCCGCCGTCCTGACGGCGTCGGCCGATGACTTCTCTTCGCCCGCCCCGGCTCCGGCGCCGGAGTCTGACGCCGCAGCTTTCGTTCCGGCCGTCCTGGCCTCCTTCGCCGCCATTGCATTCGGATTGCTCTTCTGATTTCAGAGATCGGACGTTCTTACGAGTCTCTAGAAGCTTCTTCCTCTGAGATTGTTTCAGATCGCAGATCTGGTGGCTTCGATTAGAGATGGCGAAGAATGGATCTGATTCGTATATGAGATTTGTATTTTCTATATGTTCCTGTTTAATTCTTTGATTGATTCTATCATATTATTGTTGTTATTCTTTCAGTGTATTGAACATATATTTTGATTCATTTTTTTTTAGCCATAAATTTGAATTGTTCTTATCTTAAAGCATGAAAAACTTGAACATGATTAATGGAAGGAAATAAGGAAATAATTATGGATGGAAGGAATTAAGTTATGCAAACAATTTCCAGGTAAAATTAATAAATCTCAAACAATCACACAAACAATTTACAAAGTCTGAGGAATTAAACAGCACATCAACAAACAATAGCTAAGCAATAAATACTGAGAACACAAATATATATATATATATATATATATATATAAACTCGGATCAGGTGAAGATCAATGGATGTGTGGATGCAAATCAAGGAGATCGGAATCGGAGTCTGAATCGGAGAAGGAGGACGGTGACGGGAGAGGAGGAGGGGGGAAGCAGAAGGCGGAGCAGAGGCGGCGGAGCTGGCGGCAAGGGAAGGAGAAGAGGAGGTAGAGGACTTGATCGCGGCTGAGCCTCTCGGGGTTGCAAGCTATATGTTGGCAAAGCTCCGCCGAGGCGGTCGCCACCCCCACCACCAGCGGGCTGTTCAACACCATTTTATTTGTTCTTATTCTTTGAGATCTTCTCTCTCTGGGATTTGATTATTTGTTTTTTTTTTGGGTTGGAGATTTGGCTTTGAGATGTGATGTAAATATGGTTAAAGGGAACTAGGGATTTTAATCTTTCTTTGTTTCCTTGGTAATTGGTATTTTCCCTATTCCCCTTGGTATACTGTTTTTTTTTTTGGAAAAAAATTAAGTATTATCTGTAAAATACTGTTTTAATACGCCCTTTTGCTCTCTTTTTTTATTACATGAAGAATCCCATCTTATATATGTAAAATTAAAAATTAAAATTTACATAGTTAAAAATTAAGAGTATATAAAAAATTTTGCAAAATGAGAGTTGGACAAGATTATATTATTTTATCAAATAACTAACAAAAATATGTAATGAAAGTGATTAAAGTTTGAACATTTTAGGACGGAAGAAGTATTATAGACACGAAATAGTATTTTGTGTCCGTAACATTTGGGAAGGTAATGAATGAAGTCAAAGGTAAGGCGTAACTGTAGAGCTGGCAAATCGGTCGGTCAGGTCGGGTTCGGGTTCGGTCACTTCAAATTCGGGTTATTTCGGGTTCGGGTCAATTCGTGTTCGGGTTGAGAACTGTATGTTCATGACCCAGTGTCATCGGGTTCGGGTCGACCCAACGGGTTATGACTTTGGTTTTTTAAATTTTTAAAATCACATTAACGCTTACATTTTCTATTAAATAAATTTAAAATATCAAAAAAAAGTATTAAATCTATAAAATTATTTTATTTTAAACTCTAAAGTAGTTTTTAGATATATAAATCAATATAAGGAATTTAAAAATGCTTAAGTTTTGGAAAAAAGTAAGATAATTATGCAATATCATTAAAATTTTGTCTGAAAATATAAATTTATACACTAAAAACGAGTAAAAAAAGTGTATAATTTTGAAAAATTCTTACTCTAGCGGGTCGGTCAGGTCGGGTTCGGGTTCGGTCGGGTTTGACCCATTTTTAGCGGGTCATTTCGGGTTCGGTTAACTTCGGGTTCGGTCATCAAAACCTTTATTCAAAACCCAGTGTTTTCAGGTCGGGTTTCGGGTCAAAAACAGGTCGGGTCACTTTTTGCCAGGTCTAGGCGTAAGGTGATGTTCATATAATTTTTTTTTAACAGATTTTCCATCACAAATATAAAGCCCCACCACTAATCTTTCCTCCCGAACAATTTAATTATTCATAAAGTAATTGTTAAATATATAAATTTTAGTTGATTTTATGCAAATTATTTATTATATTGAAATGGAAATAATTTTTATCAAACATCATGATCCACAAATTTTTTTTGGGGACTAATGAAGTACGTACTATATTTTATGAGTTGTGATGTTGTGGTACTAAAATTTACACGGGTAATATGAACTTTCTCACATATTTTTAATGAGTTCATAATTTGATTTCTTACAAAATCTAATGTATATAATCATTTTATAAACTAAGGTTCATAAAATTAACATGGACTTTAGAACCACAAAAGAGTTTTTCATATTTCATATATTTATTCTTCAAAGTAATTATGTACGGAGTATTACTTTTATGGGAAAAATCATGATTTTTTTTCAAGTTATAAATCATATTTTGCTTGTCAAGCAATAAACAAGAGGAAGAAAAAAGAGAAAAGGCTAACCTCTGAGAAAAAGACATGAAGCTTTAAAAATAGTTAAGGTTTCGTTTGTTTTTACACTTACGGGTTCATTTGAGGAAAAGACTTGAAGCAACAATGAATAAATTCATGAAAAAATTCACTCAAATTCGAGTTTCAACAAAAGCATTGATTCGCTGAAATTAAGTCGAAAAAGTATGAATAAATAATACGGAGTACATTCTAATCGAGTTAATAGGTGATAGAAGAAAAAATCCACCTCAGACATCGAAAGCCTTCTCGACACCACACCACACGACCTTAAACCTTAGAGACATCTCTTTTGTTCATTCTTAGTCTTCTTTCCTATTTTTTTGCACAAAAAATTATTTTCTTGTTTTTACTTTCATAAAATGAAAACAAAACTAGAAAACAACGAGAAAAAAACACTTACCTGACAAGACTAACGTGATTTTACAATTTTACTACAATCACGTAGTACAATTTCTTCATACTTATTTTAAATAGTCAAATAAAGAACATGTGATCCACACTTTTCTTTCTTCTAAACAAATCTCAATCACCCACACTTTACTTTTAAATATTTTTCAAAAACTCTGTAAAGTTAAACTGTTACAACGAATTTGACACGAAAACATTATAAACTTTGTTATAAAAACATGAAAATGGAACAAGTTTTTACCCTATAAACCTTACATAAAACGGTTAAATCCTGCGAGAAACAGATCATGAGAGCATAACTGCACTACAACTTGGAATAGGAAGAGCACAAAAAAAAAAACTCATGTTCTTGATTAATGGCAGATTTCCTTTTCCTCATTTGAGATCATAGACCCTGCAGGAAGCCTCTGCCCTCTAAATAAGAGGTCACTTGAACAGCCATCTCCTTTGGTGTAGGGCATGATCCATCCTTTTGACTTATTTCAATCTGAATGGCAAATTTTTTTGAAAGTAAAAGAAATAATTTTTTGACAGTTCTTTACAAGATAACATTATATGATCATTTTTTAACTAACATGCAATGAGATTGCATTTAGTTGTTTGATTGATGATCAAAGTTTGTGTAGTTTGAGTGAAAAAAAGTTAAATTGAACGAATATACATATACAGAAATACAAAAGTAGTACTAATTGACCAAAGGGTGTGTTTGATTACCCCTCTCTTCTTTTGGTTCAAACGTCAACGTAAAATGTTTTGAACTAAATAGAGAGGAAGGATTCATTTCCCCTCCAACCAAACACACCCTAAGCTTGAAGGTTGATGATGATACCCATACATGAGCTCTTGTATGCTGTTGGGCTTGTTGGCTTTATTTAAGTTGAAAATTTATGAGTAGTAAAAGTAATTAAAAATCACCTCACAGTTTGACGGTGCCTCGTAAGGATCATCTATTCCAGTAAAACCTGCAGACCAGATCGAAATAAAACTCATTTGTATGTGGAAATCACCTCTCGGATGATTCGGTTATTCATGTGGAGTTTCTCTTCCAACTATCCATATGGGGTAAAGTTTTTGTCTAGACCCCCCCCCCCCCGGATGATTGGGAGAGTAACTATTTGCTTCTTTCTTTGGTGGAATTAATAGAGTGATTATTAATACTCTTTTGGAAATAGCTTCTACATATGCCTGCATACACACACCCGCCCAAAAGACGTTATTGTTTGTAGGATTTTACTGGATTTGTTGTTGTAGTAGTAGTATTAATAATAGTGTACTATTTCACTAAAGAATCTAACTTTTTACAATTAAAAATCACACACTAGTATATTTTACTATTCAAAGTTAAGAGTTTGCAGCCCTAATGGCAATTAGTTTGGTACTTCTTGAAGTAGGTGAATGTGGGAGAGTTAGTAAACAAATAAACCTTTGATTTTCCCGGCGCGGGCAAGCTTGTAGAGCCCCTTTGGGTCTCTTCCTTCACACAATTCTAGAGGCATATTCATAAAAACCTGTAAAAAATATATGAAGTGAACTATAGGAAATTAGGAATTGGAAGAAGAAAACAAAAAATTCTCTTCAAGAATATTGATGCTGCCAAAAGTAGGTATGACAAGAATTGATCCAGCCTACTATTGACCCGAGACCCGACCGGAAAATATTGGACTTTGAACAAAGGTTTCGTTAATTGAACCCAAAATGACCGGTTAAAAATGGGTCAAACCCCGACTTGACTGATATGTTTGCTAACTCTAGTAAAAAAAGGGGAGTTGATATTGGCACTCCACATATGTTACCCACACTCCACATCTTTCCTTTCTTTGTAGAAGTTGACAACTTTGCCCTTTGTAACTGGTAAATATTGGTAAATCCTCCTTGATGCACTTTTAGCTCACGTCACTCTATTGTTTTGTAACTGTAAATTCTCAATGTAAATTCCTAAGCACGCTCACGGCCAATAATATTATAAAAATATTATATATAAATAATATAAAAATATAATATTAATTTTTCATATTCTTTTAGACTGAATATAATAAAAATAATATCATTATTTTGTAAAACAATTAATACGGAGTAGAAGATAAAAAATATTAAAACAGAAGAAAAGATTTGAAAAAGTGGAGCAAATTATTTTGATAAAAAACAAGAAATTTTAAAAACATAATCCATCCATTCCATAGTTATCGTCTTACTTTGGTTTTTGTAGTGACTTTGACCATAAATTTTTAAAAATGTATTTTTACATATAATGTAAATATGATATAATTCAGTTCATTTTAAAATCTAGTTTTTATTCATCAAATTTTTATCTTACTTATTTATTTAAAAATATATTTTATTTATGTTCAAAGTAATCACTAAATAAGTTAAACAAGAGTAATAACAATAGTAGGGGCAGTACTCCGTAATACTCCATCCGCCCCGCAAAAATACTTCTCATTTTGACTTTTAAAGGATTTAAGGTCAGTGTATTTTGGTATAGACTTTTCAAAAATGCCCTTTGATGTGATGGATAAAGTAGGATGTGATGCATAGTTTAATAGAGAAAAAGTGTGATGTGATAGGTAGGTTAAGAATTGTTAGGGGTAAAAGTGACTTTTTAATAGAAAAGGGAAGAGTTTTATGGGACGGAAGGAGTATGTATTTATATATACTCTTTTCAATATTTTCCAACACTTTCAAACACTTGCCAATTTGTTTTTAATACATCTTTCATTTTTTCCATCTCCTTTAATTTTTGGTTTATGCCAAAATCTAATTTTTTTCAATTCATTCTAGTTTTTTCAAATGCATTTCAATTTTCTTCAATTCAACACACATCTAATTTTATTTATCTTTTTACAAACATAAAGCCTTAGATATCTAAATTATTTTTGAAATTATGCAATAATGATAGATATAGCAGCTTAAAATAATTTTTTGCAATTAATAGTAACCCATAAAATTGTGCCATATGATTCACTTCACGTGTTCCAACCTTCTTTGTATGTTTTATTCTTTATGTTCTATTTTTTTTTACAAAACTATAACACTAGAGTTATTTTTATATTCAATCTCGCAAATATATATGAAAATTAACATTATATGTTATTGTATATTATTATAGTATATTTTTTCTTTTTTATTTTTAGTGTATTGTTATAATATTATTCTTATATTATACTTTTATAACATTATTGGTGGTGAGTATGCTTAAGAATTTATAATTTAAAATATGAGTAGAAGTTACAAGTGAAATTTGCACTAAATAGGACTAAAACATAATGACTTTCCTAATGTAGGACTTAAACTTTTTTATTCCATAAATAGGACTTAATAATGACCTAGTTGAAGGAATAATGTCCTGTAATCATGAACATTTAGGGGCTGTTTGTTTCAGCCTCTTAATGATTCAGATGTCTGAATGATTCAGCACTTAATGGTTCAGACTGTTTGTTTCAGCCTCTTAATGGTTCAGAAGTCTGAATGGTTAAGAGATTTGCCTCTGAATGGTTAAGTATTATACAGAGTCTGAATGGTTAATATCTCTTATCTGAATTGATCAGACATTTGCCTCTGAATAGTTAAGCAATATACTACCTCTT